ACCTTAAAAATAGCAAATGTAGATGAGGTCATTTCTCATCATAGGGGTATAGGGAGCTTAGGGAGAATCATTATGTGAGTTTCATTCTTTCTCAATATTTTTATGCAGTTGAAATCAAATGAAAATGAACAACAAAAGAGAAACTTTAAGGGGGAAATGAGGCCACAACACATAAGGGATGGGAGTAGTGCTTGGAAGAGGGCAGAGGCTGGGAGTTCTGTCTACTTTGCCATGATAACGGAGGGGAAAGGATGGAGACTGTATTTAACAACCAACCTATGTTTGTACAGACATGCGCTTCAAATTTCTTGTAGCTGGTGGAGTAACCTTCTCTAATACTTCCCAGAAGGGCACACCTTTGGGAATTGATGCTTAAGGTCCCATTAATGCAAAGTACTTTTCAGTTTAAATAATATATGATTTCTGTAAGGGTGCTATAGAGCTTACTTGTAAGCTCTAGGAAGGCAGGGGCAGCTTTTCATTTTGTCTCAGGATCTTTGGTGTGTAAGGTATGATTCATTTGGACCTCTACTCTTCAAATTAGTAGTAATCAGTCTGATATTTTACATAAATCATATAGGGATAATTACATAAGATAGGTTCTCATAGTAGGCATCAAAGCTTAATGTAATGCTCACTACTTGTTTACCAGTTATGAAGCTCACTTGTACAACCGTAAGAATGCTGATAAAGATATCTCTATCCTCTGTTACTCAAATTCCATGTCCAAACCCAACATGGGTGATCTTCAGTTACTCTTGACATACGCATCTTAATTTTTGGCCCTCAAGATTAAGGTCTATCAACCAGTGAGATTCTATATTTTACCATGCCTCTTTTGCATAGTTGGGTATCAAACCCTATGAAAACAAGGTCCTGGGGACCAGAGGCATCTCAGATTGTGAAGAAGATCTGAGGTCCACTTCATTAGAGGGGCCCATGGACCCTTTTATAAAGTGCCATTGGCTCAGAGCTCTGACTCAGTTTCTTTTATTGTAGATTAGACAATTTTAAACTCTGCAGGTGCCTAACAGTGTCTTGCACATAGAGGTTACTTAATAAATGCTTGTTAGACTGAAATGAATTTCTGCTGTTTGCTGAAAAAAATGAAGAAAATGATCTTATTATGGCTGAAGGAAAACAGGCTCCTTTCTTGGTGGCTATGGCTTTATGGCAAGACAGTCAAAGGCAGATAGATGACAAGCAGAACTCACACAAGCTGAAACTTTCCACAGTAACCTCCCAGTTACCCAGTTCTATATGGCTTTCCCAAAACATTGATTTAGCTCATCATTGTCCATCTTTATGTTTCAAGGTTATGTTTCACTCTTCTGCCTATCATTTGTTGCTTCTCATAGGATCATAGACTTAGAGCTGGGAAGAAACTTACAGGTTATTTAGTCCTACCCAGGCATTTTTATAAATGAGGAGCTGAAGACCAGAGATGCTAAGTGACTTTTCCAAGGTCACATATGCAGTTTTCATCAGATTTGGGATTCATATCCATGTCTTCTGACTCTAAATCCACCATACTTTCCATTATACACTATCACCTTATTGATGTTCTGCCATTTTTAAAATTTGGAATTAGCTCCTTCGTGGCTGATTCCTCCTACTTCTTCTCTTCCTCCATGATTAGGCAGTGTGGTGAAGCATAGAGAGGGCTAGCTTCAGAGCCTATAGAACTGGCGACAAGTTTTATCTTTGACACACACTAACTATGTGACCTGGGGAAGTCATTTCCTCTGGGTACCCCCAGATAACTCCCTAAGACTATAAATTGAAGCCTGGTTGCAGATCTGCTTTGATAGAGGGAGTTTTTTCACTGATAGTTTCCTATACCAATGAATCATAGGTCAGGACCAAAAGAATTGCTATCATTTTTTTTCAGATAAATGTTTCTTCTGTGTCTTATTCATTTAGTATTAGGGCACACCTGCATAATTAGTTGGTGGTTTAGGCCTAAGAAAAGTCACCATGCTTTGTTTTCTTTTCCTTTCTTTATAGGGAACAAGCTAGATTTTTAGGTCTTTTAAAAAAAAACTCAATTAGACAACATTAATTGGTAACTTTGCATCTCTATTTATACAGATTCAGGCCTTCTTTAGCTGTGCACATCACTACTCCAATATTATTATTCTTATCATTATTATTAGCTTATCTTCACAAAACACTATACATATAATCTCTCTCTCTCTCTTTTTTTTTTTTGCTAGGCAATGAAGTGAAGTGACTTGACCAGGGTTACACAGCCAGTAAGTGTCAAGTGCCTGAGGCCAGATTTGAACTCAGGTCTTCCTGAATCCAGAGCCGGTATTCTATCTACTGCACCATCTAGCTGCCCCCATACAATATCTCTTGGTAGCATTTACACTTCTACTCAAGTCACTGTTAGTAATTGACTGTAGCCTATTTATAGCCTTCACTTGTCTTTCCAATTCTCTGGTACCCTGAAAATTTTGATGTTTATTATTTTTGTTGGCTAGTATTTATGTAGTGCTTCAAGGTTTCCAAAGTGCTTTACAAATATCTCATTTAATCCTGAGAGGTAGGTACTTTTATCATCACCCCCATTTTACAGATGGGGAAACTTGAAGCAGACAGAGATTAGATGACTTTCTCAGTCACACAACTGGCTAGTGTCTGAGGCAGGATTTGAACTTAGGTCTTCCTGACTCCAGGTCCAACACTCTATCCACTCTACCACCTAGCCTCCCTGTTTAAAATTAGAAAAACCAAACATGTGTGACTCTATCTTAATACCATACTCTTTGAGCAAAACAACTAAAATATTTATAATGTACATACTGGAATGGTCATATAACCCTTTTCTATTTAGAAGGAAAATGCATGCTTCGTAAATCAGACCTGTTTTGGACTCAGTCTAAGGGAGCTCTGTCACCCAAATACCAAAAGGACTGTTTAATGCTGTAGTATCATTTATCACTCAATCCCATGGCATGAATTTCCAAAGATAGCAGTATTACAAGTGTGATGTTTAGACAGCTTATCCATCTTTGAATTCAACTGCAAACCAATTAAATGAGGATAGGAAGAGCATCTACCTTGGAGGGTTATTGGGATGGATGATCTAATGAGATATTATTTGGAAAGTACTTAGTATAGTGCCTGGCACATAGTACTTACATAAATGCTTGGTTCCTCCCTCCGTCCCTCCTCTTTTTCCTTCCTTCCTTTCCTTCCTTCCTCCCTCTCCCTCCTCCTTTCTATCTTCCCTCCTTCTCTTCCTTCTTTCCTTTTCTTCTTTCTTCTCTCTCCCTCCCTCTCCATCCTTCTCTCCCATCCTCCTTCCCTCTCTTCCTTCTTTTCTTCCTTAATATTGGCTAATGCCCATAGCAGGGAGAACGATTAGAAAATTTATGGCTTGTGATTCCATTTATACCACTATTTTGAAGGATAATAATCATGTTAGCTTAAATGAGGTCCTATGCCTTGGTTACATGTCTTACTACAGGAATGTATTGACTGGATTTGGGTTCCTTCTTTGAATTGCAAAATGTATGTATTTCAATATGCTTGTGGGAATTCAAACACTTTATCTTTTGTTTGTGGTTCTAATGACTTTAATAGTTATAACCTATTTAAAACAAATGGTTTGTATTAATAATGCAAGTCTTAAAAGACTCTAAGTAATATTCTGCTTCTTCCCTGATGATTTTAGCAAACAGCGTTAAGATTTTAGTTTAGACTTAAAATCAGTATTTAATTTGAATCTTATTATTTCATACATTAATGGACCACTTAGTACTTCTGTTACCTCTACACTTTAAAGTCCTCTAGTGAGGCAATACGTTTGTGAATCAGGGAGTACTTTGATCTTGAAAACATCAAAATTGTCTGTGTATCCAAGGGAAATTGAAAGATGGGAATTGTGTAAGTAGGCTATAGCCAATTACTAACAGTGAGTTGAGTAGAAGAAGTGTAAATGAGATCAAGAAATATTGTATGTAAAGTGTTTTGTGAAGATCAAAGAACTATAAAATGGGTAATACTGTTAAGTGGCTTAAAAGATATCACTTGGAAAGGAAATAATGCATAGTGAGAATGAAAGGTAGTAGACAGCTACTACATTGACATGGTTAAAATGTGAAAAGATTAAGAGAAAGTCATCTAGTATACGAGGTGGATTCTTTAGGGCAGAGTCTCATTACCTGGGGTCCATGATCTTGGTTTTACTATTTCAATATAATTGATTTCCTTTGTAATCCTTCATATTTTTGTTAATACATTTAAAAACATTGTTTTGAGGATTCCATAGACTGCCAAAAGGGTCCATCACACACACAAACACACACACACACACACACACACACACGTATTAGAATATTGACTAGTATTACATAAAAGAAGAAGACATGGAAAAGTTGTAGATTTACCGTTGGAGGGAATGGCCACTTAGATAAAATCACTGTTTCATTTAAGTATCTAAGCAAGTGTTATCACTTTCTTTTGGTATGATCGTTAAGTAAAGAAAGAATCACCTCATTATATCATAAGTCCTTGTCACTGTAATACATATGCTCCCTCTCTCATCTTTTCTAAATTATAGAAGAAATTTTGCATGAATAATTCTAGCCTTTGGCTTGTAGTGCTTTTGAAACTCTTCAAGGATGGATGCGCTTATATTAATTACAAATCTATAAGTGATGCTATAGTCAAGAGATGTCACTGCCCATATGGTTATCATCAGAAATATTTACTAAACAACATGTATTTAAAACTCTATCAACCTCATACATAATGCCAATTTCATTAGTTAAGTTATCATTCTCTAGGAATTTACATCGCTCCATATATAGCTTCAGGAACATAGGATATATATCTTAGGAGATATATAACAATATATATGTCAGATATATATCTGGGGAAAATTCCACTTAAGCTTGAGTGAATGGTGACTTCCTGTTATGGTTAGGGCACATTTCCTTTTTTAAATTCACTCCTGTACACATTATGGATTGTTAATTTGTTGACCTTACCTGGAGAAGAATCATCAGCTGAAAACAAATGGTTGTCTAATCTGTTGTCCTCCTGGAAAGAACAAATTAAAAATTATTAAGAAAACATGCATGATTTTAAAACATACCAATGAAATGAAAAGAGGAGAGAATAACTAATCACCATCCTCTTTATATAAATCCTGTTATTAACTTTAAGCCTTCTCTTTTATGATCTAAATGATTCTAAGCCCTTTAATATTTCTCTGTAAGTTTTAATTTCCTTTTCTTCAAAAAAAGTTTATTGATATGTTTTGTTTTTGTATTATATACATTTACAGATTACTTCTACTTCATGGGAGTTCTCATAACAAAGTAAGAGTTAAGGAAAACTAATAACACTGTGACCTTATCTAAAAATGCACACAACATTCCACATCTGGAGTACCTCCCTCATTTCTCCGTTAACAAAAATGAACAGAAATCTATTTTCTCTTCCTCCCACCCCATCCCCTACTCAGTGGGGAAAAAAAAGTATAACGAATTTCTTGTAATACTTATGCATGGCCAAGCAAAACATATTCCCTTAATGGCTCTGTTATATATATGTATGTATGTATGTAGATATATATATGTATATATATGTACATATCTTATTCTGCATCCTAAATCCATCAATTTTTGTAATAGATAATATCATCTTTGGTTTTCTGGAGTCATCAATGGTCATGGTCATTGAATTGATCATAGTCCTTACAGCTTTCCAAGTTTTTTTTAATTGAATTGTTATTATGCAAATGGTTTTCTTGGATCTCATTTCATTCTTTGTCAGTTTGTGAAAATCCTCAAAATTGTTCATTTTCATAATATTGATGTTCTTATATGAGTTATTCTTATGATTCTGATTACTTCACTCTGCATCGGTTTATATATGTCTTTCCATATTGTTGTTCCCTGTGATCTTTTTCAAGTTTTCTATTTCATTCTGAAGATACTGACATTGTATGAGTTTGGCCAATGCTTAGGATTCCTTCACTATTTTTATGCAAAGCCTGCTTTTTACTTTCTACATGCTGTTCTCCTCTTTATTGCTATTGTGTCCCAAATAATCTGGCATGTCTTATATCTCCATAAGCCTTTTTCCCACCCTTATCTAGAGTCAGTCATTTGACTTTGACCACATAAAAGTTTTTGCTGTCATTTTGAATTCCAATCTCATTTCCCAAGGGCCTTGGCAATTGATATTAGCCAGTTTGTTGTCATTTACAAAAGTTGAAAGCATTATTTTTTGATGACATGATTTGGGGCATGGATGGATATGTGAAAGAAACTTCATATCCAGGACATGCAGAATACCATCTCATATCCTTTTAGGCCGACACAATTCTCTATGATCTTGGTGTCTATGGACAACCCAGAAGGAGAAAATTGAGGTGGAGTATTGTTTTTGGGTTTACTTCACATTCAGAAGTTGGGAGATCCAAGCAAGGACTTTCAGTATCCGAATGTCATCTCCATGCTGACTTCCCTGATCCTATACCTCCTACTGCCCCAGTCAATAACAATTCCCTCCCATCCCTCAACCCTTTTCAGCATTTGCCTTGCATCTTTCTAAATGCTACTCATATATTCTTCTGTATCAGAGTAATCTATACATGAAAGGCAGTGTGGCATAATGGATAGAAGTCTGGCCTTGGAATAAAAAACCAAAAAACCAAAAAAACTGAGATCAACCCTCTCTCTGACACATTCTAGAAGAGTGATGATGGCCAAGCCACTCAACCTCAGTGCTCCAGACAGCTCAAGATTGTGAATTACTGATGAGTTGATGATCTATACTGATAGAGTGAGTTTCCATACTTGGAGTTCCTCATTCTGATGAAGTCACAGGTTTGGAAAAGTGTGTATATACCAAATCTTTTTTACTAGATTGTGAGCCCCAGGAGATCAGAGTTTATTTTTGTTTTTTTATTTTACCTTAGTCTCTCCTCCAGTATCTAGCATAGATCTCTTCACATAGTAGGTGCTTATTTGTTGGAGGCTGTTTTCTCTGATAACCCTTATCTCACTTATGATTAATATAAAATATACCTGGGCCAATAAATGATGAAATATCGTTTTATTTGCTATACTTTGCATTTCTAAATCTGGCCATGAAATGAACTTGGTGCAAGGATCCACAAATAAGTAGAGACATTCTTCATAGTCACTGTATTCCATCATCTTGATCAGAACTCCCAGTCTTTTGAGCATTCTTAAACCTTTTTGATTGTCATCATTATCAAAATAATGTGGCCTTGCTGCTTTGATGTTAAATTCAATTTTGGTTTGGGACTTCATTAAAAAATTGGTTATTTCATCACAGCACCAGCGGCAGGGGCTATAGGAAAGAAACCAGGTAATGCTGTACTTTGTAGTGTTGGGAATATTTGCCGCTAAATATTCTTCTATTTCCCTTAAAACTAGGATTTCAGTGTGACATTGGCCTGGATTATTGTAAGCATGGCCCCATAATTTCCGAAGTGTTTTATCGTCTTCTTTCAGACTAAAGCAGAGCAAAGTTTGGTGGGATACTTTTATATTGGAAAAATATCCATAGAATTCCTCTTCAGATATTTCTTTCTTTAACCTCAGAGGCATCTTTTAACCTAAAAAGTTGAGAAAAAATATTAGAAGGCAAAAACAAGATATTGAGTGTCAAATGCATTATCTCTCACTGAATATATCCTTTTCTTTTAGCAATATTTTAAAGTTGTTTTCCCTGGCATTACAATTTTTACTATAAGAGACATTTTATGAGGCTGAGAAATCATATGAATGCAAGTGAATCTTTCTAGTTTGAATTTTTAGCCAAAAGAAAGATTTCTAAATATTGATACTTCTTAATAACTGTGTGACTTTGAGCATGTCCCTTTACTTCTCTTTTGTTGTTGTTGTTTAATTATTTCAGTCATGTTCAATTCTGTGTCTGACTCCTCGGGACTGACTCTTCGTAACCCGATTTGAGGTTTTCTTGGTAAAGATACTAGAGTGATTTGCCATTTCTTTTCTTTCTCCAGCTTATTTTACAGATGAGAAAACTGAGACAAGGAGGGTTAAGTGACTTGACTAGGGTCACACAGCTAGTAAGTGTCTGAGGCTAGATGAGTTTTCCTGGTTCCAGGCCCTGTTCTCTATCTACTGTACCACCTAGGTGGTCCCATACTTGTCTAGGGCTTTATTTTCTCACCTATAAAATGAGGAGGTTAAACTAGTTGGTCTGTAAGATTCCTTTAAATTCTAAAACCAATGCTTTTTTAAAATAGTTTTTTTTTAAACAGCAGGTTTAATTTTAAAGTATAAAGCTTTTTAATCTGTCTATTCAGCTATTTTTGATTCATGAAAAGTTCCAAAGCGAAAAGTTATCAAAAATACTAATGTCTTTGCCATTGAAATTTCTTAAGTTTATTTTTAAATTCTTTAAGAAACATAAATATATATTATATGATGTACATTATATAACATAATACATATTTATATGTATAATAAATGTATATAATAAGAGTGGTTGAAAATAAAATGAGAATAATTAATGAAAGGCTTAGTGTCTAGACTGAGGGGGCTGAATCTAATAAGATGGAATTTACTTTGTTACAAGAAATCAATATCACAAGTACAAAATAGGGAAGGCAGCTTGTTTGAAAACAGCAGATTTTGATCGACTAAAAGCTCAATATGAAAAATGAGTATGATGACAGTCCAAAACTAATATAATTTTGGGCTACATTAGCTTTCAGGAATAAGGAGTTGATAGTCCCACTGCAGATCTCAGCCAGATGACACAGAGTGGTAGGGCTAGAGTCAGGAAGATTCATCTTCCTGAGTTCAAATCTGGCCTCAGACACTTATGAGCTGTGGGACCCTGGGTAAGTCACTAACTCTGATTACCTCAGTTCCTCATTTCTAAAATGAGCTGGAGAAGGAAACAGCAAACCACTCCAGTATCTTTGTCAAGAAAACCCCAAATGGGGTCACAAAGAATTGGACACAACTGAAAATGACTGAACAAGAAGTCCTATTGCACTCTCATAAGACTTTATCTGGAGTATTATGTTCAGGTTTGGGAATCACAATTGAGAAATGAGGCCCTCCAGAGGAGGGTAACCCAGTGTAGTGAAGAGTGTTGAGCCCATGTCACATGAGGATCATTTGAAGGAACTGAGGATGCTTAACTTGGATAGGAAACGGAACCTTAACTCTTCAAGCCTGTTACATAGAATTATGGATTTTTTTCAGTGAAGCAAGTGTCTATTGGGAACTCCCTATACTGATAAAAATCATAGATCCTAACCCTTCCCCCTCTATACTCTCATTACTAGTATTTGTCATTTACCTCTATAGACTGCTCTCATTTTATGAACATATTAGGATCTAAACATTCACTTCTAAAATTTCTGTTTGGAACTTGGAAGATATTTTCTTTTTTTTTTTTTCGTATGGTATTTTCTTTTTTTCCCCAATTGCATGTAAAGATAATTTTCATTTTTGATTCATTAAGATTTATTTTCATTTCATTTCATTTAATTTCATTAATTTCATTTAATTCATTAAGATTCATTTTTGTAAAATTTTGAGTTCCAAATTTTTCTCCCTTTCTCCCTTCCCTTCCTCCTCCTCAAGACAGCAAACAATCTGATATAGGTTATACATGTACAGTTATATTAAACATATTTCCACATTAATCATGTTGTGAAAGAAGAATCAGAACAAAAGGGAAAAACCATGAGAAAGAAAAAACAAACAAACAAAAAAGTGGAAATAGTATGCTTCAATCTACATCAGACGCCATAATTCTTTCTCTGGATGTGGTTAGCATTTTTCATCGCAAATCTTTTGGAATTAAGAAGACATTTTCTTGTAGAACTAGTGTTATAAATGGTGGTTAGGTTACAAGGCTTGGCCACAAAAGCTCATTTAATCAATAATGGGTTCTAACTGTAGAACAATAATATGATGGACTCCACTATGGCCCTAGTGTGGTAAAGAAGTGAATATAGATATTTCAAATGTGTTTGATCCAGGCTCATTCCCAAGCCCATGTGTTGACATGAGATGGGTGAGGGTGGAGGTATTAACTTCCAGCATAGTATAGGGGTTGTTGTATATGTTTTGTAATGGAAATAGTACTGGACCTGCAGTCGAAAGATATATGTTTGAGTCCAAGCTTGATGGTTGCTAGTTGTATGATCTTGAGCAAGTCACCTAAACTCTCTGAGCCTCACTTTGCTCATATATAAAATGGGGGGGACTACTTACTTCACAAGATTTTTTGTGGGGAAAGTGCTTTGTTGATCATAAAGTACTATACAAATATGAGTTATTTTAATTTCATCATAGGGAAGCAGCTTCATAAGAATGCAAAGGAAGGAGTGAAAAGAATGCCCAATGGTTGCCAAAGCTGGATTGTTATGGAAAAGAAAGGAATATGGAAGAGATACGATACTCATAATCTCACAGACAGGTATGGGTGATTCTGCTTGTCATTGGCAAAATCAGTTATTATAGTCAGAATTTATAGCATGTATATAAAAGCTGGTGTGAACATCTACTAGTAAGTAGCAAAGACTTTGGAACACTAGGCTATAATAAATTAAAACTAAAACATGAATGCATATATTGAAAATTATTATCTAATCACAATGAGAATATTATTAATTTTGGATAGGATGATTGCCAAAATTTAAGAGACAGAAGAAAGGCAGGCCTACTTGAGTTTCATGTCCCTCTCTATTCAAGAGATAAAATGGGTGAACTTAATAAAATGAAATTTAAAAAATTACAAAATCTAATACGAAATCTAATCTAACTCATTAAAAGTTAGAATGGAGCAAGTGGAAGCGAATGACTCTATGAGAGAGCAAGAATCAGTCAAACAGAAACAAAAGAGTGAAACAATACAAGAAAACATAAAATACCTCATTGGTAAAACAACTGACCTGGAAAATAGATCCAGGAGAGACAATTTAAAAATTACTGGTCTACCTGAAAACCATGATGGAAAAAAGAGTGGACAACATCCTTCAGGAAATCATCAAAGAAAACTGTCCTGAAGTCCTAGAACTAGGGGTTAAATTACTCATTGAAAGAATCCACCAATCACCTCCTGAAAGAAATCCCAAACTGAAAATGCCAAAAAATATTGTAGCCAAATTCCAAAATGACCAGATCAAATGGAAAATACTTCAGGCAACCAGAAAAAAAACAATTTAAATATCATGGAACCACAGTCAGGATTATGCAGGACCTTGCAGTTTCTACATTAAAAGATTGGAGGGCATGGAGTACAGCATTCCATAAGGCAAAGGAGATTGGATTACAACCAAGGATCAACTACCCAGCAAAACTGATCATAATCTTTCAGGGGAGGAGCTAGATATTCAGTGAAATAGAAGACTTCCAAACCTTCCAGATGAAAAGACCAGAGCTCAAGAGAAAATTTGATCCTCAAATACAAGACTCAAGAGAGGCATAAAAAGGTAAACAGGAAGAAAAATTAACAACAACGTATTGTTAATAAGGGCAAACTATTTATATCCCTACAAGGGAAGATGACACTTGTAACTCTTTTTTTTGTCTTTTGGCGATTGGGGTTAAGTGACTTGCCCAGGGTCACACAGCTAGTAAGTGTCAATTGTTTGGTCTGAGGCCGGATTTGAACTCAAATCATCCTGACTTCAGGGCCAGTGCTCTATCCACTGCACCACCTAGCTGCCCCTAACACTTGTAACTCTTAAGAATTGTAATGTCATTATGACATTTAAAAGGGGGTATACTTAGACAGAGAGAGCAGGTTTAATTTGACTTTGATGTGATGGTAAAAAGTGTGATGGTAAAAAAAAGTGGTGAAAAAGGATTGTACTGGGGGAAGAAGAAAGGAAGAAGCAGAGAAGGATAAATTATATCACATGAAAAGGCACAAAAACCAAATACAGTAGAGGGAAACAAGGGAGGGAGATGAGCATTGTCTGAACCTTACGCTCATCACATTTGGTTCAAAGAGGGAATAACATAACCAGTTAAGTACAGAAATCTAACTTACCCTATAGGAAGTAGAAAGGGTAAAGAGAAAACAAAAGGGAGGGGACTAATAGAAGGGAGGGCAGACTGAGGGAGGAGGTGGTCAAAAGCAAAACTCTACAGAGGAGGGAAAGGGAGAAAGGAGAGAAAAAGCATAAACGGATGGGGGGGAATAGGAAAGAGAGGAAGACACAGATAATAATCATAACTGAGAATGTGAGTGGGATGAACTCTCCCATAAAATGGAACCAGATAGCAGAGTGGATTAAGAACAATAATCATATAATATGTTGTTTACAAGAAACACATTTGAAGCAGAGGGATACACACAGAGTAAAGGTAAAATGCTGGAGCAGAATATATTATGCTTCAGCTGAAGTAAAAAAAAAACAGGGGTAGCAATCCTGGTCTCAGATAAAGCAAAAGCAAAAACAGATCTAAATAAAAGAGATAAGGAAAGAAACTACATCCTGCTAAAAGGTACCATAGATTATGAAGTAATATCATTACTAAATATAAATGCACCAAAGTGGTAAAGCAGCCAAATTCTTAAAGAAGTTAAGGGAGGTACAGGAAGAGATAGACAGCAAAACTATACTAGTAGGGGACCTCAACCTCCCCCTCTCTGAAATAGATAAATCTAACCACAAAATAAACAAGAAAGAAGTTAAGGAGATCAATAGAATCTTAGAAAAGTTAAATATGGTTGACCTCTGGAGAAAACTGAATGAGGACAGAAAGCAATATATCTTTTTATTGGGAGTACATGGCACCTACACAAAAATTGACCATGTACTAGGGCATAAAAACCTCACAGTCCAATGCAGAAAGGCAGATATATTAAATGCATCCTTTTCAGATCATGATGCAATAAAAATTACATGTAATAAAGGGCCATGGAAAGATACACTAAAAAGTAATTGGAAACTAAATAATCTAATCCTAAAGAATGAATGGGTCAAACAACAAATCATAGAAACAATCAATAACTTCATGCAAGAGAATTACAATAATTAGACAACATACCAAAACTTATGGGATGTAGCGAAAGTGGTCATTAGGGGAAGTTTTATATCTTTAAATGCTCACAGGAATAAAATAGAGAAAGAAGAGATCAATAAATTGGGCATGGAACTAAAAAAACTAGAAAAAGAACAAATTGAAAATCTTCAATTAAATACTGAATTAGCTAAAATACTAAAAACCAAGGGAGAGATTAATAAAATTGAAATTAAGAAAACTATTGAATTAATAAATAAAACTAAGAGCTGGTTTTATGAAAAAAACAACCATTATGAAAAAATCACTATTTAGGAAAACCAATAAAATAGATAAACATTTGGTTAATTTGATTTAAAAGAAAGAAAGAAGAAAACCAAATTATGAGCATCAAAAATGAAAAGGGTGAATTCACCACCAATGAAGAGGAAATCAAAACAATAATTAGGAGCTATTTTGCCCAACTGTATGCCAATAAATTTTACAGTCTTAGTGAAATGGATGAATATTTACAAAAATATAAATTACCTAGATTAACATAAGAGGAAATAAAATACTTAACCCCATTTCAGAAAAAGAAATTGAACAAGCCATCAGTGAACTCCCTAGGAAAAAATCATCAGATGAATTTCCAAGTGAATTCTATCAAACATTTGAAGAATAATTGATTCCAATACTACATAAACTATTTGGGAAAATGGGTGGAGTCCTACCAAATTTTTTTTATGATACAAATATGGTGCTGATACCTAAACTGGGAAGAGCCAAAACAGAGAAAGAAAACTATAGAACAATTTCTCTAATGAATATAGAATCAAAAATTTTAAATAAAATATTAGCAAAGAGATTGTAACAACTTATCTTGAGGATAATACACTATGATCAGGTAGGATTTATACCAGGAATGCAGGGCTGGTTCAATATTAGGAAAACTATAAGCATAATTGACCATATCAACAACAAAACTAACAGAGATCATATGATCATCTCAACAGATGCAGAAAAAGTATTTGACAAAATACAACACCCATTCCTATTGAAAACACTAGAGAGTATAGGAATAAATGGAGTCTTCCTTAAAATAATAGATAGCATCTATTATATGCAATGGGGATAAGCTAGAAGCATTTCCAGTAATATCAAGGATGAGATAAGGATGTCTATTTTCACCACTGTTATTCAATATTGTGCTAGAAATGTTAACTGTAGCAATTAGAGAAGGAAAAGAATTTGAAGGAATTAGAATAGGCAAAGAAGAAACAAAGCTATCACTCTTTGCAGATGATATGATGGTATATTTAGAGAATCCTAAAGAATCAAGTAAAAAATTATTTGAAATAATAAAAAAATTTAGCAAAGTTGCAGGATATAAAATAAACCCACATAAATCATTGGCATTTATATATATTGCCAACAAAGCCCAGCAGCAAGAAATAGAAAGAGAAATTCCATTTAAAATTATTGTAGACACTATAAAATATTTGAGAATCTACCTGCCAAAACAAAAGTAGGAACAATATCAATACAACACTTTTCATACAAATAAAGCCAGATCTAAATAATTGGAAAAACATCAGTTGCTCATGGGTAGGCCAAGCTAATATAATAAAAATGACAATTCTACCTAAATTAATTTACTTATTCAGTGCCATACCAATCAAACTACCAAAAAATTACTTTATAGAGCTAGAAAAAATAAAATAACAAAGTTCACCTGGAAGAACAAAAAGTCCAAAATATCAAGGGAACTAATGAAAAGAAATGCAAGGGAAGGTGGCCTAGCTATACCAGAGCTTAAATTGTATTATAAAACAGCAATTATCAAAACTACTTGGTACTGGCTAAGAAATAGAGTGGTGGATCAGTGGAATAGGTGGTATGCAAGACACAACAGTCAATGACTATACTAATCTACTGTTTAATAAATCCAAAGACCCCAGCTTCTGGGATAAAAAAAAATCACTATTTAGCAAAAACTGCTGGGAAAACTGGAAAAATGCATGGCAGAAACTGGGCATAACCAATATCTTACACCCTATACCAAGATAAAGTCAAAATGGGTACATGATTTAAATATAAAGACTGATCCTGTAAGCAAACTAGAAGAGCAAGGAATAGTTTACCTGTCAGATCTATGGAGAAGGGAAGAATTTGTGACCAAACAAGAGATAGAGAACATTATGACATGCAAAATGGACAATTCTGATTACATTAAATTGAAAAATTTCTGCACAAATAAAGTCAATACATCTAAGATTAAGAGGGAAGCAGAAAACTGGGAAAGGATTTTTACAACCAGTATCTCTGATAAAGTCCTCATTTCTAAAATATATAGAGAACTGAGTCAAATTTATAAGAATACAAGTCATTCCCCAATTGATAGTCAAAGGATATGAACAGGCAGTTTTCAGAGGAAGAAACTAAAGCTATCTATAGTCATACGAAAAAATGTTCTAAATCACTATTGATTAGAGAAATGCAAATCAAAATGACTCTGAGATACCACATCACACCTATCAGATTGGCTAACATGACAAAACGGGACAATGATAAATGTTGGAGAAGATGTGGGAAAATTGGAACACTAATACATTGTTAGTGGAGTTGTGAAATGATCCAACCATTTTGGAGAGCAATTTGGAACTATGCCCAAAGGGCTATAAATATGTGCATACCCTTTGACCCAGCAATAGCACTTCTAGGGCCATATCCTAAAGAGATCACACAAATGGGTAAAGGACCTACATGTACAAAAATATTCATAGCAGCCCTTTTTGTGGTGGCAAAGAATTGGAAATTGAGAGGATGCCCATCAATTGGGGAATGGCTGAGCAAGTTGTGGTAGATGAATGTAATGTAATACTATTGTGCTATAAGAGATGATAAACAGGCTGACTTCAGAAAAACCTGGAAAGACTCGTATGGTCTGATGCTGAGTGAAGTGAGCAGAACCAAGAGAACATTGTACACAATAACAGCCACATTGTGTGATGACTAATATTGATTAACTTAACCTTTCCCAGCAATACAGGGATCTAAGACATCTCCATAGGCCTCGTGATGGAAAATGCTAGCCACATCCAAAGAAAGAACTAGGGAATTTGAATTGCTATTTTTTTTCTTTTCTGTTGAGTTTTGGTTCCTCTTTCTGGTGGTTCCTCCTATTGGTTCTAATTTTTACTTACAACATCATTAATGCAAAAATATGTTTAATAGGAATGTATATGTATAGCCTATATCAGATTGAGCACTGTCTTGGGGAGACTGATGGGGAGGAAGGGGGAGAAAAATTTTAAACTCAAAAGCATATGGAAGTGATTATTGATAAATCAAAATAAATAAATTAAAAAATACTATTGTGCTATAAGAAATGATGAGCAGGCAGACTTTAAAAAAACTTGGAAAGACTTACATGAACTGATGCAAAATGAAGTGAGCAGAATCAGGAGAACATTGTACACAGTAACAGCCACGTTATGGGATGACTGACTTTGTAATGCAATGCAATGCAAGAATATAAGACAACTCCAAAAGACTCAAGATGGAAAATGCTATCCACACAGAGAAAAAAATATGGCGTCTGAATGAAGATAGAAGCATACTATTTGCTCTCCTTTTCCTTTGTTGTTTTGTTTTATTGCTTCATTCTCGTGGCTCCTCCCAGTAGTTCTAATGGAAAAATATGTCTAACATGAATGTATATGTAGAGCCTATATCAGATTGTATGCCATCTTGGGGGGGGGGGAAAAGGGGGAGGGGGAGAAAATTTAAAACTCAAACTCTTATGGAAGTGAATATTGAAAACTAAAAATAAGTAAATTATCCAAGAAAGAAAAAAAGAAAAAAAAAAGATTCTCCCTCATCCCAGATCTCATTCTTTTTACCTTCTGGTCTTTATTGAAAACTATATTTCTCCTGAAGGCATCTTATCTTTTGGTTCCGTTTCCATAACTGGCTTCTCCTTCTTTTGGCATATGCCTTGGCCTAACTGTTACTGTTAAACTCTCACCTGCCACTGGGACGGGATTCCCCTCTACATAAAACCCCAAGTGGTCATCCAACCTTCCCTGAGAATCTTCCATGATAAAGAACTCAACCCCCAAGGCAAAGCAATTCACTTTTGGAAATTCTAATTGTTAGGAAGTTTTTCTTTACATCAAGCCTAAATTGTTGTAATTTCTATCCATTACTCCCTATTCTGTTATCTGAAGTAAAGATAAGCAATTTAATTCTTCTTCCATTTAGTAGTTACTCAAATCCAAAACCAGCTATCATATCCCACTTCATCTTCTCTCTTAGCTAAGAATCCCCAGTTTCTTCTTGTATGTCAGTTTGTCTTGGTATAGAATCAATGAACCATTATTTTACAAAACTGACCTTTTAGACCATGGTGATTCTTCTCCGACCTGTAGCTTCCTTAAAACAGCTGGATCTGTTCAGTTTTGTTCAGTTTTACTTCAGAAATGAAAGGAAAACGACCAATTTTTGCTTTCGATTTCTTTTGACAGCAAATGGAAAGTTTCACTATATCCCCATCTAGTGGCAAATAATATGTACACAGGGTTTATAGCTGGAAGGGAGTTTTAGGAAAAAGAAGGGAATGTTAAAGACCAGAGGTGGAATTTGAACCTAAGCACTCTGACTCCCAATCTACATCTCTTAGCGAGGAAGCTGGATTCAGTGGGAGGAACAATGGATTGGGAGTTAGAAGACCCGAGTTCAAACTCTGATTCAGTCTCTATCTGTCTGAACTTGAACAAGTTCTTTCATCTTTCCAAGAAGGGTTGAGGAGGGTTAGTGTAAGTTAAGGACTATCCTCCCCCTTATAGTAACAGGGGAAGTGACATTTGTTTGGAATCCATCATGCTCCTAGATCAGTAATATTTGAGAGAGCAGAATTCTAGCCCAATATTCCTCTTGCAAAGAGGTCAGAAAAAGACCGAGCGCCCTGTCATTGCCCGTCTTCTGTTCCTCTCAAGGAGGAAATCAAAATCCCTTAGAGGGGTATGGGCTAGATTCCAGAGACATCTATTTCACCTTTAAGCCAATCTATTTGGAAATACCTATTTCACATGACATACATATCTTATTGTTGCTAAATTCTTAAAATATTGTTAATTATAATTCATTTTAATTTGAAAAAAAAAACCTAGAGCTTTTTGGAAGATAAGGTGGGGTGGAGAAGGTAAATAGGAGAACAGAAAAATGTTACAAAATAAAACAACAAATTATCACAATTCCAAAATGCTTTAGCATCATTGTATGAAATCTAAAAATCTGTTGAAATTGGGAAGGTGCCTATCCTTGTCTAACTCCAGGAATGAAGTTTGTTTTTTTTTTTTAACCAAACACCAAAAGTATTTAAAATTCCAATAGGACTTTCTTTTGAGACTTAAGTGTGTACAGTGCAGCCTACCTTTTGTGATGGAATCTGTAAACTCAGAACTGATTCAGGGTTCTTTAAAAAAAAAAAAGAAAGAGAGAAAGAGACAGAGAGAGAGACAGACAGACAGAGAAGATTGCACTGGAAGAAAAACAAAGCCTGAACAAATATAACCACCTAAGCCTTCCCAGTGGATTGCAAAACCCTCTGAGATTTGTAGTTCTTTCCAGTTTGGGAAACTAACAAGAGATTCGTTTTCAAAGAGGAAAGGGAGGGGAGCAGAGTTCTTCAGAAGGTGGTGGGATGTGAAGAGAAACCAGGACACCTGCAGTTCTTTTTTATTCTATTTCCCTCCCCCCAGAATCCTGAGAAGTGACCTCTGTATGAACAAGTCAAAAATTGTGTGTCTATGATGTGCAACTCATTCCCCAAACAAGAGTGCAGAGAGAAAACCCTACCCAGCCCCTGCCCTACTTCTGCTGATTTGGGTGTTTCAAAATATTGTTAGAAGACTATATTTGCTGAATATTTAATATTAATTTTATTAGAAACTTGTGATTGATCTTGTCCTTAAGTTGTCTGGTGTCCTTTATTTGGGACAGGAGGGCATTGGAGTGCAATGGGAGCTGCTTAAGAGAGAGGAACTTTTTTTTTTTTTTTTTTAGTACAGGGGAAGCTAAAACCCCAGCCCATTGTTAAAGACATCTGTTTTTTAACTGAGGGCATAAGCACTAGGCATTTCAAAAGTGCAAAATTGTTACAAATCCTGGACCTATTGCATAGATTTACTTCATAGACATGAACAGAGGTTTTAAATAATTGTTAAGCCAGCCTTGTGTATGAGAGCAGCAAAAAGTATACTGCTTTATAGGAGACTTGAGGTAAATAAAGGAATGTTTATACATGACCAAATACAATATAGTATGAGAATTTTGTTTGCTACATTCCTGAACTTTGTAAAAGACCTCAATATGAAGTGGCACATAGCATTGAATATACATTCTTAAATTTTTTATGGTATATGTCATAGACCCTTTTGGACATCTAATAAAGTCTAAGAACCCCAATTCAGAATATTGGTTTTAAATAATTGAAGGAAATGCTAAATTTCAATTAAAGATTAGTGGAAATAAAGATGTAACTTTTTTCCCATCCTAGTTTATGAACTTGCTGAAATCTATCCAGTGACTCCTTGGAGGCCTGTAGATTTTAGGTTAAGAACTCCTACTCTCTATGTACATGTAAGATAAAAGAGGGAGCTCCTAAATCCCTTACAGATATGGGACCTGTATTTGTGTAGTATGAGATAACCTGCAACATTAACTACTGGTCAGGCCAACTTCTTCAACCAATGGAGATGTCCCAAAGCCCCAAGATATAGCTCTCAAAGCAGGGCAATGAAGGTAATATCTCAGAAGTGGAGACCCTTCAGGCATAGCCTCACAGAGACCAAGTAGATTTCTGTACTTTCATTCTGTTCATGATAACAGTGTGACCGACAGACCTGGGAGGTGTATCTCCAGGGATGGAATTGAACTGGCACGTTGTTGTCCATTGTCCTTCATTCTTGAAGAGGACCAATGACGTCAGGATGGTGACGTCTTGACTTGCAAGTGAATTGAATGTAAGTGAGGCAGGGCTGTGCAAAGTTACTAGCCTCACTCTCTCTTCCAGAGCCATTGGAGTCCAGTGGCAAGGCATAGATCAGGACAACTGGCAATGGGCCTGGATGAAGTGGGAGACCCTGGCCTTTTTAAGCTAAGGTCTTTCCCAGGTCTCAGTTTGTCTGAGGCAGAACTGGCACGTAGAAAGTACACAGAGGAAACCATGCCTCAACCTGACTATGATGAGTTGGTTATGTTTCCTTGTGAGTCTCACTGAATACAAATAGAAACAAAGGTATGCTTATGTACAAAGGCAGCATCTTACCATATTAGAGACCTTGAAGGTTAGAGGTGCTGAGTATGTTTGCTTACCATACTTACCTTGGAGAAACTTGATCTAGAGTTTGCTTGTCATCCAGTTGCTATAAATCAGCCTCTTGCCAAACCAAAATAGTTGTGAAGGACACTAGTTGAATTGCTGAGCTATAAATTGTCCGGAAGTCCAAAATTCTGTATTGACTTTATGACTGCTTGTATGATCACGTGTTTATGTCTTGAATTTTACTTTTCTGCTTAGGTTTCCACTTCCCAGGACTTAGCTTTCCCCAGGTACTGCCTTCACCTGCCTTTTGTAAATGCCTTATACAAAGCCAGCTATGGAGGCCTCCATCTGAAAACAGGCTCAGCTCTTTTCCTCTGCCCCTTTAGAAATGAATCCCAGGGACAAATTTAATGAAATTTAATCCAATAAACATTTTCCCACTGATGTCAACATTTTTATATCTACCTCTTGAGGAATACAAAATTCAATCTTAGAGGATCTTGGGGTAGCTTGGTAATGGGGCAGTATTTTTTGTTATCATGTACTTTTGATAATTAGTGAGACCTATAGCATGTCTCAGAGTACAGGAAGGTGAGGCTTGGGTCCAGTTAAGCTGAATGGGGTTTACATTTTAGGGGTATTAGGAATGGACCATGGCACTGCTCATTTCTACCTGATTCTGTGTATACTTCGGTAAACAGTTCTAGCCTTGTAAATTTCTTATGAAATCATTTCCAGAACCTTGTAATTAAAACCAGGTCACTAATCAGGCTAATCTGTCAGGTTAATACAATAGGGGCAGGAAGAAGAGAGTACAGGCAGATATTGCATTTTTTTAAATGAATTCAATTAAATACAAATCAACAAATATTTATTAAATGTCTACTAGATATTAAACACTATGCTAAAGCTATACAAATTAAACAACACAATCCCTGTCTACAAAGAATTTACAATTTATAATATAGGAACATATGGTAGTTCCACATATAAATATAAAACAAAGTAGAATGTGAAAAGTGCAGAGAAAGGACTATGAGAAATTAGAGGTGGGAGAGATCATTTCTGTTGGGGTTGGGGTCAGGCAAATTCTTCCAAAGAGGATGTGATTCTTGAATTTGGTATTAACGGCCAGGAAGAATTTCAATGGCTGGAGATGGACTGCAAAGAATAGGAAAGGCATTATGGGATTGGGAGAATGGTGTGAGTAAAGGCTTAGAGAAGGGAAACAGTCAAATAAGAAATTTCTTTGGTTACGTGGTGCCCTACTGCAACATTCAAGTTCTTAGAACCCATTCAGTTACATCATATATTTGAAACCACTGCTTTCAAGCCCTCATTTTCCTCTGATTCTCTACCAACCAACCAAAATTATACACATGACGTTAGAGAAAGGAGAAAGGATATCTGCTTAAACTAGAATACAAGGTAAATAATGAGAAATTGTGGTAAGCAGCAGGCATTCCGTTCTTTGTTTCCCCAAACTAAAATCCCCTTGTGATCTAGTTCTTGTCAGAGTTGGAGTTCATTTATCTCCACTTTCTGAGTTGATGCACAGTGATGGAAGGTAGTGAGCAGAAAGAATGTAATGACTCGCTCATCAGATGAACACAGAAACCTGAGAGTTGGATGGGCCCAATAGAGTCAATAACCAAAAGGTTAGCAGTGGCATGATCAAAGAGAAGCCTCTCTTTAGTAATGGTGGACGTCAGAAGCAGCTGCAGGCTGGCTCTGTGTTGATTCTTTCTCTTCCTCTTATCCTTCCCTGGGCTCTCTCTCCACTCTCCATTGTTTGAATTTTTTGCATTTAATCTCTAACTTCTTTGAACTTTCTGGTCATCATGAGCCCTACTAGATTTACAAAAATAAAAAATAGGGTGGAATCTGTAGGAGAGTTTACTGCTGTTTGTGTGGGGGAGGATTCCCTTCTCCTTTTTTTAAACTTTACTATTTTGTTTAATTATTTCTCATATGTTATATTAAAAAATAAAAAGAGCACAGAGTGGGGGTTTCAAAGCTGTTGTTTTTTAGTAGATATTAAGCCAAAGTATGCCTTAAACACAGGCTTGGTTTTCAAGGACCTAAACTGAATGGGACCCAAAATATAGCATAGAGCAAAGTAATTTCAACAGTCTGTATCAATCAATGGCTATG